AGCCTTCAATAGGATTTTTTGACTCAGCAAGACTGGTAGCATTTGTGCAGACCTGTAGCTGTGTGCCTGGTTAAATAAATAAAATTCAGGTCACCTGCACGCACCGGGTCACAGCCGGATGACCCATTGCCTCTATTACTTTACGAATAACGCAAGCACCCCCAAGGCGACTGGTCTTACCTTATTGTAGTACTGCACCTGGACGGAGTGCCACTGCCCGTCACTGACCCCTCCTGGAACGAAGGGTGCCACCGTAGTGGTCGTCTCCCCTGCAAGGGCAGCGAGAACGCACACAGCAAAACATCAGTCACCGTTACTGCAGGCTCCGCTTCGCGCCAAACCGAAACGCAGAGAGACCCCCGTCAGAGGCGGGACGCTGCTGTGCCGCTTCCTCCAGGAGGAAGGTGGAATTTCGTCCTGTGAGACAGCGAGTAGCCTCGGTTGCGCTGCGTTGCTTCGGAGCGCGGATATGAAAATAGCTTCTGGTACGTTCCAGTGAATTATGTTATTTTCTATCATGCTTCTGCAGAGTGCAGTAGCAGATGTCTTTGCTAGATACAGCTATTGCTGAAGTGGTCCGCTGAGGAAAAAGCGCACATTAATTTTGCTGCTTCAAAAAGCAGCACTTTGAGGGTTTTTTGCTCTGAAGAGTATCACGTGGGGACAGTTGGTTAGGGAAAGGAAGCCTGCATCTAGTCAGAGGGGAGAAACTCAACCGGGACCGCACTCCTGGTTAGACAGCTACAAGTACAGACCACACGTACTCAGCAAACTTTTACCTGCGATTAACAAAATTATCGGCAGCCTTTCAGTACTTCTATTTTAAAGAGGGTTCTTTATATTGCAGTTCTAAAGTAGAAGCTCTTACATTAGCCTGAGTCAGCACAACCAGCTTAGTAGCTAGGCATATCTGTTCTGGTGTCACGACAAAATCAATATTTGGTCAACAGTACATAAAGGCCTGGCACAGAGAATTGATTGCTAGGTTTTGTCTTTTTTTCCTTTCTTTCTTTCTTTTTTTTTTTTTAATTCTAGGCAAAAGTTCCTGTTACTGAGGAAGAAGAGGAGAAACAGTTGGAAAATTCTACATAATAAACCACAGGAAAAATAACTCCCTCCCTTAAGTGAACAAAGTTCACTCTACTGTTGAACTTAAAATGTACTTTCTCCTCTTTATTTGCCACTATCACTTTTCCCCATTTCCTTTACTCTCCTTTAACTTGCATTCTGTAGACTTCTGTTATTTAAATAATACACATTTCAGCTTAGTACATGACCCACATCTTGCTGTGAAATGCGCCTCATTCGGTGATTAAAGAAATAATAAAAATTATTATTTTTATTCAGCTGGAAAGCTTCTGCAGAAGTAAGATTGCTGGTCTCCAATCATTTTGCTTTGGTTGCTGCAAAAAAACTGTTGTGACAGGTAAAACAATCAGATCAAACGTCCAAAACTTGTACTGTGCGTTAAATGCTACTGAAAGTCATAAAACATTTTAAAACCATTCTTCTTCCAAAGAAAACACCATTTGTAAAATACAGGACCAGACCTGCTCTCAGGTGCAGTAGTGCAAATCTAAATTTAGTTTCATGTATTTTAAAGGAGTTTCTCCACATTTAAATGCACATAAGTGCAAGTAGCATTTATCCTCATTCATCCTCAGGGTGCCTTCCTAGCAATTTGATTCAAGTTTAGACAGGCGGAGGACAGATACAGAATAAAGCAAATTTCTCCAACTGTAGCATGCTATTTCATTACACTGATCCATTCAACGGCCCGCCTTAAAATCCAATTTGAATATCTTATAAGTAAAAAAGAAGAAGTGAAACTGGAGTATCTTTGCGGGCCCAGATATGCACTTCAGCACATGGAGTAAATCCGTGGGGTCACTTGGGATTCACAGCAGGGTCTCACGGCCACGACCGTCACTGGTGGTGAGCGTGCAACCCCGACGTGGGCAAGGCCTCCACGTCTACTGTCGGACCGTTTGCAACGTCTCACTTTCAACAAAAATCAATTAGAGTTGCTGAGGGACTGTATGCCCACCTTGAAATCGGAAGACAGGAAATAACAATGTTATTTCCCAGAGCTACTTGCCAGTTGCAGAGGTCTCACCTAACCTGTGCGAAAACCTGGCCATCGATGCCTGCTGCTGAAGGTCTCGGGCACGCTGCAAAGCTACGTGCTCACAGCTTCACGTGCCTCTCCTACTGCGGGAATTAGTACGTATCAAAAGGTGCTGGCTTTGTCCTCAAGTAAACGCTGAAGCCCCCACGCCTTGTTCCCTAGCCCACCTTCACAATGAATGGCCAGTTTGGTTCTCCTAAGTTCTTCGTGGTTCACTGCTTCTCCCAGTAGGAAGTGCTTTAATATGCATCCATGGACTCCAGTGATGGTATTGCTTATCAAAAATGAATAGAGTGGCAGGCAGTTTTCATTCGCTTGTTACTTTTTCCTTTGGCTCATGTATAATTTTTAGATAACATTTATGTACCTACTTTTCCAGAAGGTGTAGTGGAAAAAAGAATAAATACACAAAATCAATCACAGCATGATAAAAAGAAGGCTCATTTAAGCAAACATTGGCTAGGAGGCCAACTTTAAGACTAGTGCCAACCTCATAAACTCTGGGTTTTATAACTGATAACGCTGACAAGCTCCAACCTACAATAGTGAGCGTTACTACTATAAACTGCTATAATCCAGAGTGTTTTGCAACTCACCGCATCAGTTGTTAACTGTACAATGTCACTCAGTTGCTCAATTTACAAGGCAGCAAATAGCTATATAAAATCATTGAAGTACATTTCCAAATGCACTGAGCAGATCTTATCCCCCTAAGTAGAAGCGCTAGACTCGGGTAACACCTCACCTGCAGAGAACGTTAGCTGTATCTGCTCTTCAATGATCTCCAGTGCGATAAAGTCATGCTTCTCATTAAAACGCCCATTGTAGAGAAGGAGAGCGTTCCTCTCTCGCGTTGCAAACCTAGAACATGGAGACGAGGAATCATTTCATGTTTAAGGGCTTACAGAGTAAAGACTGACAGTCGAGTCACCCTGAGGAAAGACAGCATTAGAACCACCAGAAGAGCAAGCCTTACATCTTTCTTTAGACATAAAATTACAAAAAAAAAGCAAGCAGCAGGATAAATATATTATCTCACAATCTGTGGAGACAAGCAAGACAGCAACTACAGAAACTACTCTGCACGTTTGCAGAGCTTCGCTTGGATACTGACCCTAAAAAAGGATAATATTATACACACACACGCTTCAGACTGAGTACCTGAGACTATTCAAACAGTAGCAGTTACTACACTTTGCAAACAGTTCAAAGCTAGCAAGTATTTCACATCAAAGGGGCAGTACTTGCTGCCTGCTTACTGTCTAAATGCTATATGGTACAAAGAGTCATAAACAGATTAGAAAGAACTGTTGGGGAGGGAAGGGGAAAAGAAAGATAAGAGTTACTTTAATAATGTCATGTAGATAGTTAGGGTTCATCAATCAACAGTTAAGGCAATTTGAGGAAGGAAAATAAACACTTCAATGATTCCACTATATCAGCTCTAGTAGGTATTTTTTATTTCTATTTTTCTTGAGCTTCTAATATGGGACGCATCACGCCTTTCCTGCAACCCCAGTTCTAAAAAAGGCTGTTCTTTGTCTGCGCAGAACTTCTTCTGAAAATTTATGTTCTGTGCATTTTAGAATTTTAATTGAAGCCTAATATCTTGGCAGATTCAAATGCACTTTTCCTCTGCTTAAGAACGTAAAACTTTAACACACTTTACAAAAACATTTTTACAAACGTTAACATTATATAAAGAGGGAAGAAGAGTAAAACCATGGGAATCTCTTATGTTTAAAAACAGTGTAGCTTGATTTTGTATCTTCATCTTCAGGAACTAGCCTGATTTAAGTTAATCCACTTCTACAAATGAATGAAATGCTGAACAGAGCTAATGTAGAACTCCCTGCCATGGAGCGAAGAAATGATTCTTTGTGTCTCATGTCACTCCTATCAGCAAGATCCTATGCAGTATAACAAAAACATCAAGGTCTGGTATTTTAAATAAAAAAATTCAAAATCAAAGACTATTTTTTAACAAAAATTGATTAGCAGAAATAAGTATGTTGTGAATTATATATAATAGAGACCATTCAGAACCAGTGGCCTGAACTTAAGCTATACAGAAATGAGAACTTCTGTTTCACAGAAATGTTATTCTCTTTGAAGGAGGAGAATGAATTGTTCTGGTTCAAAAGTCAAAATTTTGAAATTAAAATAAAAATTTCAAAAGATATTCAGTACATTCAATCAAAATGTTATATTACCATTTTGATTACTTTAAATTAGATTTTGCAACATATCTTTATTTCTAAGTATATTTGAACATAATATTTAAAGAAGCAAAAGTCAAATTAAATTAAGACACTGCTGTTGAAATATTTCAATATTACAAAAATATTGATTTACTTTTCAATTTTCGTTGTCATATATTTCATCTAGAGCAATAAAGTTCCTACAAAACATTTTGGAAAACTGCATTTTTCTGTGGGCAACTACATCACCAAAACTTTTTTGTTCATATCTGTCCAGGATATATATGACAGAAAGAAAGGGGAATTATATGAATAATGTGCTTCTTTAGTGGGCAGAAACACTTAGTTTGAGGGGCAGCAAAAGGAACATTAGCTCTGTTTGAAAATATTTTTCTGATACAGTTATGATCCTCTACCATGACTTTAATTAAAAAAGGCAAAATATTTTTTCTATTTTTTACACCTGTTTACTCGGTGTGTTTTCAGTTTCATTCTTTGCCGCTAGCCAAATGCATCTTTTCTACCACACTGTTAGTTCAGTACCATTGCTTCTGGACTTCTTGGTTATCACTGGCAGGGGGGAAAAAAGTTATGTTTTTTAATAGGAGGGGCCGTTTTTAACTCAGGAGATAGAAAATGAAAGATGTGCTTTCTTTGAGATTGGAATTTTTGAATAAGTAACTAGAAAACATCTCCACTGACAGTGTCTTTTGGAGTGAAGACTGAAGAGCGACTGCTGGGAGGAAGCCAGGAAACCAGGAAGATGTATAAAGTTGGGAGCAGAAATCAGTATCCTAAATAATAAGAGTACGATGTAGCGTACCGGAAAAGTATTGGGGCAAATATGTACCTGAGTTTTTGCTCTTCTGCCTCTGTCATTAGGAATACTGTGGCATCTATGCTGTTAGCAGTAATACATGGTATATACAATCTATGTACCCCAAACCATTTTGGCGCTGGAGATGTTAAGTTGTCGGCAAAACTCATAATGAATATATGGGCTATTTTTTAAATCTCATTTTAGCTATGAGAATAGACTACACAAACATCCTGTGCTTTGCCATGCAAGGGGAATTTGAAGCTAACAGGAGCTAGACACCCTGAGATTTTAGGAATGTTCCCAAATCACCAAATATGTAACGGCAAATCCTTCATCCAATCAAACTGCTAGTTCTTGCTCACCCTCACATAATGTTTTCTACCTGTGTTGAAGGGTAATAAAAGCTAAAGAAATAATAAGTATAAAAAAATAAATTTCAGGTACAAAAAGCTAAATATGTCATTATCCCAGATATTTGGGGATGAGTCCCATGATGACCTTGTTATAATCACACTGAAGGAATAACACAATACAATACAATAAATATGCCATTCTAGGCTGTAAAGAGTGTGAAGAAGTCATGCTGTAAGCACCATGGTACACTATTTTGCTGTTTCTCAGGAAGGCCTACAAGGAGAATTTGAGTCACTTTAACTTGAAGCACCCTACACATCAAAGATCTCTTCCTGAAAGCTTGAAAAATGATACCACGTGGCTGCTGGGACAATCCAAGGGTAGTATAGGTAATTTATGCTGGCAGCCAGCCTAGAACACTCCTTTGTTTGCACTTAATGTAGATCTGACAAGCTCAACAGAGCTTTTGCTTCTCAGCTTTTCTGCACATTTAGATCTGATGCTTTAAAACAGTCTTTGCAGGCATAACTGTTCCCTACCTCGGCTCACTTGCAAACTGTATCTGCATATTCTGATTTAACCAACATTTCAAGGTGTCATAAAATGTTGACCTCAGGATTAAGGCAGATGAAGAACAAAACAGAAAGAAGCTGCCTGGTCCCAGAGAGATGTAAAACACCAAGTAACTGCTGAATGCTAGCTAGTGTAAGAAATGTGGCTGATTTTGTCAGTCCTGCCTTTCTCCAGAAAGACGCACAAACGTGTCCATTGTTGCTCCTGTTCTTTTCCCTGTCCACAGATCCTGAAGTTTGCCCTTTGGAGTCAGGGCTAACACATTTTGTGCTATTTACACAAAGTCAACTCTGAGGGAGAACCAAAGGTTGATCTTGACCAGCTCAACCAAGGAAAAGCTGCTGATCTGCATCTTCTCTAGAGAAAATTTGTGTGTACATCTAGAGTGTTTGTTCTACTGCAGACAAGAACTACCTTAAGCAGCAGGACCAACAAAAGAAGTTTTCTCCAGAGAAGAGATTTTCACTACAGGGACCACATAATGTGATTGTCACCTTCACTGCCCATCCTGACCTCCCCGAAAGCCCCAGAGTGTCCCCACATGACAAGTGAGAGCTCCAGGGTGGGAGCAGACTGTTCGGTGCGGGGCAGAGGGTCCGTCTGGGGGCAGGGCAGGGACACGGCCGGCAGTGGGAGGGGACCAGGGCCAGGAGCCGGGCTGTACCCAGCCCCATGTCTGGACACAAAGCACAGCTAGGAGCCCAGCTGGCAGCACCCACTGAGCACGGGATGCCTGTAGCCTTACATGGTCAGATCCTCTCGCGAGCTGAGATGCTGGAGAAGGGAAGGGTGTGCTCCAATAAGCAGCTAGAACTGGCATAGTCTGAAGCTGATCTGAAAGTCAGGAGGCCACAGATACAACTGGAAAAAAGCTTTAAGTACTTGAGAGGTGAGCAAGCCCATCTGGGTAAGCCCGCCCAACCATCCCTCAAGGCTGTCCGGCTGACTGCTGCTGAGAGGTGGCCAGAGCTTGCGGTCAGACAGCGCTTTGCTGCCTGGGAAGGCTCGGATGGGAAACCACTGCCCAGCACAAAAACCTCAGAGCCTGGTCCATAAAGCTCCCACTGACTTTTATGCACAGTCCCCTCTCTCCGCTCCTCTTCCCTGGGTTGCACAGCCCTAGTTGCAGGCACGCTGGAGCAGAGAAAGGTCGTAAGGAGACTGGCAGTCCGGCCTTCCCAGCTCCCCTCCCTCGAGGTCAGCGTAGTCACAAAAATGGGCAGCATTCTCTTGCCAGGCCTAGGATTGGACCCTTGGTGGGACACGCTGCTCCAGGGACATCCTCTGAGTGGCCGCGGCAGCTACAAGCTCCTTCCTTTACCAAATGGCCATTTTCTAGATGCTCCTGGCACTTGTGCTCCCTCCTAGCCCGCGAAGGTTGAAAGGAGCCTCCTCTTCTAACCGCCTACAGGATTTCGCAACACCTCACCAAGAAAGGACTCTACGTATCGAAATACTAATCTCCATAACAGAAGAGATGAATAAACTGCTTGTTAAAAAAGTGACTTTTTTAGTACAAGAAGTTTTTAGCAAAAGTTTCCAGAAAAAGAAACACAGTTAGCACTTCAACTGCCTCAGCAGCTGGGCAGAAGTCAAATGCTTTCAAATAACACGATCCTGCCCCACTCTCACAGGAGTCAACGTCAGAAATCCCCCACGAGTTACTTCCATGAATTTAATTCAGTGGGTTACTATATTTAATAAATACACTCTGAACCCAAACGGAGACACAATGGGACACAAACCTAAGCTTGGATCCCTCCAAGTCGGGATAAAGAAGGAAAAGGAGGGACTTACATGAGGGAGACTGTGAAGTGGAAGCGCTGCCGTAGCCCCTTGAAGGTGATGAACGACTGTGGAGGGAAGCTCCTGGTGGTCATCTCGCAGTATGGTCTTTCGTATTCTCCGGGAGGACACTCGCATTTGAAGCCTCCTATCAGCAGGTTAACGCAAGTTCCTCCGTTCTTACACACCCCGGGAGCACAGCGGCCAGAGCGAGCGTTCACTTCGCAGTACTCTCCTAGAAGGGGAGAAGCAAACACCAGAGAATGAAATATTTCGCTCTCAGCAGCAGGTTGCCTGAGACAGAGTGAACTAGATAACTGTTTCTGCTGAAAGTTAAGCTGTTTCCAAACCTCTGCTCCTAATTCCCTCTGTAATCAAGGGACGAATCTGTAATTGGAGGAGAATAAGGATGCTGTGTTGTCTTTCAAGTCTCCATTCTTAACGTGGCTCAGAATATTATTTGCTGAGTTATCCTTTTTCAAATATTTGACAATGTTGGCTCCAGTTTTTGGATTCCTTGGCTGCTCTCAGAACCGGTGATAAATATAAAGCTGGTGATAGACAGACCTATATGGGAGGAGGTAACACTACCATTTAAAAACCTGCACACTACCTGTCAACCAAAATATGTGTGAATTGTTCCAATATTTCACTACAGGTTGGAAACTGGGTAAATAGACAAGTGTTTGCATTTCACCTTGGGTGGAATTTGGCTTTATTGCCCATGTCACACAGGCAGGGCATGGCCAAGCTTCAAATGCAACTCTGAAAGCTTTTACAGAATGAATGAGCAAAATGCAGATGACATATATATTGCTTCCATCTTTTCCTCTGCATCCTGCAGGTGATAGTCATTTAGTGAATCTTTCAGAGATGGGCACAGTAACTTCATTCAAGAGTTAAGGATTTTATGTACTGCTTACTGAAGTTGTTTTTCTTTACGCGCTTCACCTTTACTCTATTCAGCAGTCTGTATTAAGATGCATTAAATATAGGTACTGAAAAATGACGTGTCTTTCCTTGTATATTTGCCATAATACTTCCTGTGTTTGCCCAGAATTTGACAGTGGACCACAAGTTTAAAAAATAATTTGTGATTTTGTGGTTTGTGCAGAGGATATCGACTTTTAAAAAAATCTGCTGTGGCCAGGACAAGAGCAATTGCTGAATTAATCATTATACAGAAAGCTATCCCTCTACGGGAGTTAATTAGTTAACATTTATGCTTTGGAATGTGTCTTCCTAAGGTAACTGTAATTGTGCTGCTTTACTAGGTGTTCAGATCCTGCGTATTAAGCTGTTCACAGAAATTGCGGGTGGCTTATATAGCTGAATTTTACCCAGTAACAACATCTGACAACCAAACGTAGAGCAAAACTGCTCAACACAACCAGGTGAAGGAACACATTTCCAACCAGCTAGTGTTTGCATGATTACTTGCTACAAGATTATACAATTACATTAATTCAAACACAGTTAAAATCGTGCAAATGCATTCCTAGAGGAAAGTAAAAACAGCAGGAAGTATGGGTGGTGACTCACAAACGAAGGCAAATGAAAATGGAAAGCTCTGCTCTGCCAGCCGCCCCCACAGCCCTGCTCCCACAGGTTCCCACGCCGAAGCCGGGACTGCCGAGCGGTGCGGGAAGCCAACTGCAGATTCTTGGGCTTTGCAAAACTACTGGGCCAAGCCAGCAAGCCAAAAACTCTACAGTAATAAACCATATAGCTGAAAGTCCACCTTCAAGCCCATGCTTAAAGTTTTTCTGATTCAGGACTGACGTTTCTAGATTCTCATTTTATCATATTAAGATGAAATGCTGTGAATATCACTTGATAAGCACCTTCCTGTTTCCCTTTATTAACTGTGAGTACCAGGTTAGGCAAGATTATATGAATACACCATCCTTAATACTTTGGTGAGGAATTCAGGTAGATTAAAATGCCTTACAATGTGTTTCTTCTGCAATAAATTTTATAAATCAACCAAGACAGAAAAATTTCTCAGTGTATTGACTATGCCAAGGCAAAGTACACACGCACATCAAACGCATTAGAGAATTGATGGTCTACTGCATAACCAGAGCCAATCCCCCTCAACCCAATAATTGCACAAATCTTGTGTACCAGAACCAATAATTGCACAAATCTTGTGTACCAGAACAAAATACCGTTCCCACATAAAAGACTAAACACAGGTTTGTCCCTTTGTAAAAAAGTAGTGCAATATTCTGTGAAATAAATCTCCCAACTCAGAGTGGAACGTAATCTTCAAGGCTTTCTGAAAACAGAATGATATATTTGGCAAAAGCAAATAAAGCACAGTCCTGAATACACAGGGAAAAAAAGACAAGACCCGAGCTAAAAGGAGAGATTCTAACACGCTGTGGAAATACCATGGCAATATAGATGCATAATATAAAAGCCTACGTTTCAAGTCATTGATAGTTTTGTATTAATTCTATGATATAGCAAGAATTTATAGACCGTTTATTTACAGGCATAAAACTATTTAAGAGAAAAGAAAATTAATTTAAAGTACAAGTATATTGAAAAGTAGTGAAAGTATATTGAAAGTATACTGAATTATGTTTATTACTGCTTTTCATTATGACAGTTTAAAAAAAGTTATTTCAAAAAAACTGTAAATCAATCCTAAATATGATCCTTTGTCCTATATGCATACAACAGTAGCGTAACTCATGTCCCATTTACTAAAATTATTCTGAATTCTCATTATGTATGTAAATAAGAACTGAATTTGAAGCATATCCTTTGATGTTGAGTTTTCATATTTTATGTTTATTGACCAAAATACGTTAAATATCTTTTTTGAAATCTCTGCAAGAACTCCAAGTCATTGTTATGTTTCAAGGCACAAGGGTCTACAAAGAAACTTGATAAATCTTTATTTAACATTTTTTCCAAAAGGAAAAACAGTACCTGGAGTTATTTAGAAACACCACATTGTTGGCTTTCTTAAGTAGCCACCTGAGCAAATATTCCAAGTACTGTTCTGGTCTGGAGCACCTCATCTATTCTGGCAATGCAATAAGTCGCTGTGTGGCTCTTCAGTTCGCCATTTCCAAGGGTGGTCACCTCATCCTGGACACACTGTCGCCTCACAGCACTGCCCTACATGAGCTGGAAGTCACAGCCCAAAAAGCACTATCAAAAGCCGAATGTAAGCCCACATGCACTGGTACTGGAAGAAAGAGCTGGTGGCTGGCTGGTAGACTGAAGCTCAAGTCGGAAGCCCCTAAGGGAATAGCTACTTTAGGAACTGGACAGGAAGGGCATCGCCAATGGCCACAATGCCAGCAGTGAAGATGAAAAATGAAGAGATTGTGTGTCCGCTTTGCAGCTGAAGGTCAGAGGGCTGAGACAGCAGAGGAGTCTGCACTGGTGCAGGGGACGTGCCCCAGACCAACGAGAAAAAATAGTATAACCCCGAGGGCGAGCTGTTCTGGACTCCGGGTCCGAAACGGGCTTGGTGATAAGAGCCACGCAAGACAGCTGCGGCACGTGGCTGGGACGGTGCCCATGGCTCGCGTGTCTAGCATGGCCCCTGGGACCCATCATACTCCTCTCTGCCCATCACATCATTTTCTTTAGGAAAATGATTTCATCTTTCACACTGGCCAGTGTTTTAGGAATCACTGAAAACACTTCCTAGATATCACAATTCTGTGAAATCCAAGCAGGAAATGTAAAGCTTAGTCCCTCCAGCTGCTAAATCTAAAGCACGCACTGTCAGATAACGCTGCGCTGTGTCTGTCTGTTATCTGCTGGGCGGATTCTTGGGCTTTGAAAAGCTACTGGACCAAGCCTGCAAATGGTTTACTGTTACAGGATAGCAGCTAATCTTATATTCTCACAATTAATATTGATGACTTACAGCTATGAAAGCCTGTAGCTTTTAGACAGCCCTTTATGTAGTGTTTCCTGGTTTTAAAGCCCATGAGATCACAATATACTTGCTTTTGACACTCCTTCCTACTTTAAAGCATACTGACTCTCATATACTCCTTCTACCCCTTCTAAGTCTACAGAGATGTTAATGGTAAAATTTCTGATATTAATTTTAGGAAAGGGATGACACCATGATACCAGGCATAATATAATAAGAATAGACAAATTAAAAAATGGCTAGGAAATGATTTAACTTGTTTTTCCTCTGATGCATTCCAAATAAAGTAGTGAAAGAGTTTAAAGAACAAAAAATAAATGAGGATAAAAAGGAAGAAGAAATAAAAAAGAAAGAAGTTATTTTAAAAGTGAAAGAGTAATCCCCTAATTACAAATGAGTTGTGAGCTGAACATGATCGTTTGAGTATCAAATAGTGCACCTGCTTGCATCAATGAACCAGTCGCTGCAGAATTACTTGCACGGGTTTACTGGCGAGCTGCTTGACCCTACAATGATAGGCGATGCATAATGTTGGAAAGCTTGCTAAAAAAAACATGGCATTGAAATAAATACAGAATTGCTCTGCACTTCAGTTTACTGTGGTATGTTTTTACAATATTCCCATTCAAGGATTAGTCCTCAAAAACTTGTACTATTCTCTGACTATTTTCAATTGAAATACCACATTAAATATACATTACCATGAAGCAGCACTGATGTTCTTGCTTCTTTTTTTTTTCTAGTTTCCCTGGACACATTAATTTTTCATTCACTATCTGCAATTGTTTAATTTGAATTGATTCTTCTTTCCTTTCCTCCCTCCTGTCATTTGCTCTAGATACATATTAATCTTGTTCTCCATGTTTGTTGCTGCTTCACCAGAGTGGAAACTTTGGGAAGCTGATTTAAGCAGCCAGTCTAAAACGAGGTACTTCAAAGTAGAAAGCAGAAACAGCAAGAAATAGGGCAACTAAATTCTTGAAGAATCCCCACTGCTGTAATAAAGATCCAACTATCATTAAAAATTTGTTTGATATGTTACATATTATGGGAAAATCAATCCTCCTCTTCCTCTGGTAACTAGAATGCTAATAACCTGAAATGATGATTAGTACTGAAGCGATCAATGCACTAAGTAGTAACACGGTTGTTAAAACCATCAAACGAGAAAAGGAAAAAAAAGTCGGCCCCAAGAATCTGCTTAATATCTGGTTTCAAAATCTCCCGCACTAACGTAAAGGCCACCCACCCCCTGATATATGTATCGATACGGTTGGCAGAGACCCACAGCAATAGGTGCTCTCAGAGGAGAGGTAACCCCGCAG